TGAAACTCACCAACCTACACATGCCAGAAAGTCAAATCAAATGAAGAGAAGGCAGACTACGGTGGGATTCATGATACTGGAGACTTTGCAAATCAGATGGTTTAGTACCACGAAAGTAATGGAAGCCTGTGGCATTAGCCTCAGGGGATACTATCTCACACTTCCTAACTTGTGGCCTTACTGATGAATTCCACCATTTTGGGGCCTATTCCTGAACTAGAGTCTGTGAAAGTCGGTCAGATCACTGTGCTCTTGTTCCTGTTTCCCTACAAAGCATGGGGACTCAAATGAGATGAGGACTATTTAAGATGAGGTGTGGTGAGATGATGATGATGATGACGACGACGACGACGACGACGACGACGACGACGTCATCTCGTTTCTAAACACGGAGGAAAACCAACTTGCCTGCTCTCATCTTATGTAAAACTCCACTTCTATTTCCTTGATCCTTCTACTGCTGAACTCCAAGGAATTGAAATAATATGTAAATTAGAAATTATTTGTGATCTCCCAACTTATGACCTAGCCATAAAAAAGAGAACAATGTTTGCCTCAAGGTATTATTTGAAGTTTACGTTAGCTCACTCTCCTGATTGGGCTCATCTCTGAGATGGCACTTTCCAGCCCATAGGTAAAGAGTCCTACTCAGGCTCATCAATTTATGATCACCCTACAGTGTGCACTCATTTGTCAATGAACAAAGGAACGTGGGGGCTCATGACAACCTCATTTGGTTTACCCTAGGTTGGGATTTGAGAAAAAAGATGAAGAGAAAGCAGGATTCGGCGTCTGCACATATTTGTGCAAAGGTCCAGGACTCTTTTGGAAAGTGTATTCTTCCTGGACTGCAGTGGCTGCCCCTGGCAAAGTTAATGGTGTCAATTTGTAAAGGTTCACTTGGGAAATGTTTGTGATTAATGCTCGCTCATTTACATAAGGCTTCATTGTGTAAATAAAGCTGTAGCCTTTTGCTTCCGACAATGAAGTTCTATTGAGATGGTAAAAGCTGGACAAAGCGGGCTGCAGAACACTGAAACTAGGTCGCTCTGAGCTTTACTGCACCAGGCCTACCCTGGTATGTTTTATGTGCATTATAGGACACCGTGGAGAGCAGTCTGTTTACTGTGCAAATTTGCCTTCCAGATCTTTCAATAAACATATTTTCTACACTGAAGAGTGAAGCCAATTCAGTCTCAGGCTGATTTAGAAATGTTATTAAAGGAAATAAGGATGAGCATCTTCTTAATTCTTGCATTAAAATGTAAATAGGGTAATTATAAAATAATAAACTCTCTCCCCCAATAAAAAATGCTCAGTTAGAGAGCTCAGTTATGCAGATTATAGCGCCATTACTAAACACTGGGAACACATATATGTCACATTTCTGAATCTGCCATCCAGATTTTGTGGTTTTATTGCCCAGAATCTAAGCATGACTCAGAAATCTCATTTCTTTCTTTATTCTCCACAGGGCTACTGAGTAGTACAAGGAAGCTGGTGGTCATCTGCTAACATGTATGCAGCTGTCCTTGTCCATATTAGTTACACTCAGAAAAAAATGGATGATGGTGAGCGCACATCAAAGGTGTGAGCAATTCTAAGCTGTAGAGAGAAATTCTCACACCTCCCCTCAAAGCACCCATGGGGCAGATTTTGTTTTTCAAACAGGGTCTCATGTTGTCCAGGCCTCACACTTGCCCCGTAGACAAGGCTAGCCATCAGCTCCTGACTCTCCTACCTCTGCCTCCTATGTGCTGGGATTGCAGGGTGTGCTACCACCCCTGGCTTCCATGACACCGTAGCAAGCATCATTCTGAGGTCTTGGCTGTCCTATCAGTATGGCAGATGTGATTATGTCCTATTCTGCTGATGGTGATGCCATGGGGGTTATTTTTAACCACAGAGCTGGAGTGGTCCATTTTCCCACCATAAAAGAGAAAACTAAGGTCAACAGCATTGGTGTCATTTCCCAAGTTCAGAACCAGAACTTAAATCCATGTTCAAGAACTTTTTTGTTTTGTTTTTTGACACGATCTATGTAGCTCGTTTGTCCTGAACTCACTGTGTGGACTAGGCTGGCCTTAAACCCTCAGAGATCTGCCCACCTCTACCTCTTCCTCTTGAGTGTGGGATTAAAGGTGTGTGTTACCATGCCTGGCCCTCCAAAACTCCAAATGCAGTGTTGTACATACAATTGAGAACTGAGTGGAAGATCGGCAACGTGTTCTAGCTTTCCTGTTTAAGGACAGATCCAAGACAGTCACATATCACTTGCTGGCAAAAGCTACTTCTTTGGAATGTTCCATCATTATCCAGGAGGGGTTCAATTAATCCTTAGACAAAAGTCAAATTACAGGAAATAGTACTGTAGGCACACCTCCAGATTTAGAGGCAAGACACCCGGATTTATGTCCCAGTTCTGCTGTATACTGACTATGAAAATACATGCAATACTCCTAAGTGGGAAACAACTACATGATCACCTGTACGACACTGCACAAATAACCATGGGACATGCACACACAAACTACTAATGGGCACTCAGTAAACAGACTAGGGACATGCATACACAAACTACTAACAGGCACTCAGTAAACAGACTAGGGACATGCACACAAAAACTACTAATGGTCACTCAGTAAACAGACTAGGGACATGCACACACAAACTACTAATGGGCACTCAGTAAACAGACTAGGGACATGCACACAGAGACTGACGGTGCAGTTTTCTACTGCTTTCAGAGGAAACTATCATTAGCTGAAAGCAACATAAATTTATTATCGTATAGTTGGGCACCAGAAATGGGATGTGCATCTCTCTGGGCTAAAACAAAGGTACTGGTAAGACTGACTTCTAAACCTGTGAATATTCCTTGGCTTTGGGCACACTCCTTTAACTTCAAAGCCATCAATGGGCGATAAATGAATCATTAATGACTGCTTCTTCTGCCTTTCTCCTCCCTTTTCAAGGAGCCTTGTTCACTGGGCACACAGGATAGTGATTGATATTCTTTCTATTTTAGAGACAGGTGATTACCACCTTTAACTCCATCTGTTAACTTACTTCCCCTCTGTGATATAAAGCAACATATCACGAGGATCTAGGTTCTTAGGACATAAGTATCTTTGTCTAGCACGTTTGCAAATAAAAAGGTCAAGGAGTGCTCTACATTGACAGAATGGCTTCTTAGTGAACCATTATAATGTAAGAAATAGAAGGCAAGAGGTGGGGAATGACTCCATGGGTAAAGTGTCCACCATGCACACATGAGGACCTGAGCATCCATGTAGAAGCCAGGTGGGGCAGCAACCTGCTGGGGACAGAAAATCAGATCCCTGGAGCTCATCGACCCAACAATCAAGCAGAAAAGATGAGCTCCAGGTTTTGTGAGAGAACCTGTCACAAGAAAACAAGGGGGAGAGAGATTGAGAAAAGCACCTGACATCAACTTCTGACCTTCACACTCTTGGTCACACATGTGCATGCATGCCCGCACACATATATGTATACACATATGAATATAGTGCATGTTTGGTACATGAACACCAAACGAACGAACGAACAAACAAACAAACAAACAAAGGTAGAGAAAAGTTTGTTACTCTATATGTAAGAAAAAGAAAAACACATTCACATTTAGATATAATTAAAAAAAATCTCTGGAAGGTTACACAAAAAGTACTAAGTGTTGATAATAACTAGGAATGACAAGTAAGGCGTGAGGAGTTAAAATGGATGAGGAGTTAAGAAGATTATTTATCTTTACATGAAACTGGAGTTATGGACGTCTTGGGAATGGAGCCCAAGTCCTCTGCAAAAGAAGCTAGTAGTTTTCACTGCTGAACCTTCTCTCCAGCCCCAAGATGGAGTGACTTTTCAATGTACCTTGGTAACTGTGGGTTTTGTAGGAAGTACTGAAATCAGGAAGTATACATCTTCAAAATTTATGCCTCTAGGGATCTCTCCTTCTTTCCTATGTGTATTCTAAAAAGTGGGTGATTTTTTTAACAAAAAGGAAAGGTTTGGGGAATTTGGATATTCATTCTGCTATCTTTACAGTCTGAGAAGAATTGCTATCTCAGTAATACTGAGGTGTCAAAGGAATTATCATCCTATGTTCCTCTGATTATTTAGGTGGATTTAAATTCTTCAGTGTGGAATCTTATGAGGTACCAAACATGCCTCTGGTGGAAATCACATTAAGTATGATTGTTCAGGTCCTGATTAACTTCTTTTCCAGTGAGTGCAGTTTCACTGTGCTTACTGTGTAGAATTATGAAAATGTCACATCATGGTATATATGAAGAAGGATGGCTGTTATTTTTGTATTTCTAAAAACACATTAAATCTGTGGTATGCTCTTTGCAAAATGGCTTTTTGAGTCCAGAAACTTGGGAAATCCCAAGATACAGTCTTTAGATCCCATCTGCACTGGAAACTGGTTTTATTTGGTAGTTGAATTATTACCAGGTTTCTACTGTTATTAATTTTTTATGCATTTAAAAAATCTTAGATTTTACCCTTTCTTTGGTATCTCTTTTTAGCAGAATGTCTGTGTTGTCTAGTTATAAATTTTTTCCTGTATTTATATGAAATGGAAACATAACTTGTATAATACACTAGTCTCTGAGCTATTTAGTAAGATTGAATACATGCCTGAAATGTGATCGTTCTTGTCAAAAATAACATTTTTGGCATCCACTCAATTTTTTTCATATTTTCTAATTTTCAAGTATTTTTGACAAGCAAATAGAATCAGTAGAATCGAATAAAACAAGAGAGCATCTTAATTTTTATCATCAGTCACTTGTCCTACTGTTCATATTGGAAACACTGAATCTAAGTCACTTGGAAATTGGACACACTGGAGCCAGTGGGCCGTCAGGAGGAACCAGGCTGAGATGCCATGGAGCACGCAAATATGAAGACATTCAGGGCAATTAGCACCGGCACAACCAACACACTTCAGAGAGCGATAAAAAAGTGATACTCACATCCGAGTTAAAACGAAGCTGGCAGACATTACAAGAAATCACTTGTTTCTTCTTTGGGGGAATGGAGACTCCAAATGTGTGGTTGATGACTGCTTTCTGCACAGGGTCCATCTGAAGAACAAAGGATGGGAAACACAAGGTCAAAATTAACTTCAAAGGAAAGACAGCAACGTGGGCAAAGAAGAGGAGCAGAACTACTCCTGAAGGTTTTAACTCTTAGTTCCCAAACGAGGCTATTAAAGAATCTCACTCATCAGTAATGTTGTCTCTGGGAGTTAAGAATAAGAGACCTGCTTGAAGTCATAACACACAAAGGACCACAAGAGAATCATCACATCCCTAGCAACCTACTATCGATGAAAGGATGCTTGGGACATTTTAAAAAACCATACTACAAGAAAACCAAAGATCCACGCATTCGGGTTAAAATTAAGTTGTTAATGTTGCCCTTGTAGGAAGCGATAATGCTCAGCATGGTCTCGAATGATCTCAGTGACAGTCATTACAGATATATTTAACTTCTTAAGTTTTGATTTATGGCAAAGTTGTAAATGTCAGGCTCTTATTACAGAAGAGAAAGTGTGTATCTTTATTTTCAAATAATTTATTAGCTTTCATGTCCTATGGATTGAAATTCACTGTACTGGAAAGTATATTACAAATGAACACTGAGATGCATGTAAGAGATTGGTTAATAAGCAATCCTTGTTTAAATATTGATCAAGCAAGGTTTTGATTTATAGCCTGCAATTCCTTTTGGCTCCCATATAAAACATACATATTCGGGAAAATACACAGTAATGAAAGTATTCAACCACAGAAAAACGCATGGTGGTAGAGCCATCACACTTAGAAAAAGAGACAATTCTATCCGCAGAGCAGATAAAAAGAGGCTGTGATGATTCTCTCGTGGAGCCCAGAAATTAATCCCCAGCATTAACATCAGACAACTGGCAGCTCACAAAACAATGCAGATGATGAGCGGTGAATTACTCATCAACAGGTGGGACATGAGCAAGGACAGGTCAACTGACACCACCAGCTAGGAAATCTCCCCGGCTCAGAGTTTAACAGTGGATTAGTGGATGGCATCTGAGAGAGAAGAGATAAATCTCATCCCTGATCATGAGCATAAATCAAGAAAGTATAAAATTAGCACTTAGGAGAACTTACATACAGCAAGAAAGAGGGCAGTTATTGTTGTAAATGTCACATTAACAACAACAACAATATATATATATGTATATATATGCATACATATACATAATCACAATGATAATTATAGAAGAGGAGGTAATGGATCTGAGAAGGGGATGGGGAGCACTAGAGATGTTGGTGAGGGGAGAGGTAGAGACTAGGTAAATACAGTGTCCTCACAGATGAGGTTCTCCAAAAATAAAAATTCAAAGTGATTAGAACCAGCCTCCTTTTTGCTCCAGTTTAAGAGTTGGGAGAGGTGACAGTCAAGGGACGGGGTGATGGTTTGCATGCACATGTTCTGGAGTGGCAGACAGGGTCTCACATCCCAACCTGGAGCCTCGGGAATGCTAGGCAAGTGTTACCACTGTCCTGCCTCGACAGTCCTTGAATCTTATTGCATGAGAATTAGATAAACCAATCAAGATAAACAAACAAACAAACAAAAAACCCACCAGTGAGAAAAGAAAATCTCCAAAAGTCAGCAAAGAAAACATTAGGTGTTTATTTTATTTGCAGATGTATATATCGAAATACTTTCTGATGGCTCCTAGGGATATTGATGTATTAGCATATCCATTTTGTATTAGACTTAACAATAGAACAGACTGACTTAATTGGCAGTATTAAAAATCCCCAAATTTTTAAAGTTGACAAAAGAGCCTTTTATCCAGCGTTTTTCTTCTCAGACTGTGTAAAATACTATCTGGTAATGTGTGAAATATGAAGGATAAAATTGTACAGACATCTACCCAACATTAGTTCCTGAATGGCACTTGGCTCAGCTTTGTGGTATGTCTACACTAGTACTTTACCTTTGTGTCAAGGTGCTTTTAAAAACATACATAATAATATTCATTAACCATAGCTAGAATGTACATTTTTTATATCACTCATTTAAAAATATATTGAAAATTAATCTGTAAAATACAAACTTTCATTGTTTAAGATAAATGCACATCTCCTGGTTTCACCTATGGTACGGCAGAGAAGCACACACAAAATATGAACCTAAGATATTCTAGCTTAAAGTTTTTATTAAATCAAGATAATTAGGGGTGGATCCAACACAATCCTTGAATAGAACTGTTCCCCCTAAATTCTTCTTCAATGAATTCCTAATATAACTGTATCCTGCTCAAATCTGACATCTGTACCACACCAGACTGAAAACATTGCTTCCTATTTTCCATCCCTACGGGTAAGTCATGGCTGAACACTCCAAATATAGAGGCAGACAAGTTCCCAGCCACCTGCTTCCCAAAGCATGTTAAGGAGGTCCCTGCAAGACACTGGCACCGGATTTGGCTCCTGTAGTGTGGAAGATCATAGATTTCCTCACAAAGTCAATTCAGTTGAGACAGCAGCAGTTTTAATGGCTTCCTTGTTTCCTGACTTGCTGCCTTCATTTGAATGACACACAGCTAGCCATATCAAAATCTTACCTCTGATGTCCCTCACTTTAAAGGACACTCTATTGTGTAGCTTGTCCTTTCTTGTGGGACTCCCAATGGTGGGAGCAGGGGCTGTCCCTGAATCTTTTGCTGGCTTTTGAGACCCTAGTCCTCATACTGGGTTGCCCTGCCCAGCCTTAATACCAGGGAAGGTGCTTAGTCTCCCTGCAAGTGGATATGCCATGTTTGGTTGATGTCCATGGGAGGCCTGCCCTTTCCTGAATAGAAACCAAGGAGGAGTGGATTGGGGTTACAGAGGGGAAACTGTGGTTGGGATGTAAAAATGAATTAATTAATTAAAAAAAGAATAAGTGGTTAGCGAATAAAGTCATCAACTATAGGAATGTGTCTAACAGAAAGATTATACATATTACTGCATTCACTGTTGTTGGTATCATTAATTAAATTGTAAAGTATGGGATAACTAGAAAAGAAAGAGCTTTCTAGCAATAAAAAATGAGTATTAGAAAAAGTACTCTGTTTTCTATGGAAAATGACAATTTCCTTACATGAATTTTCCTGAAAATACCCATGTTTTCCTCTTGTCTAAATCTCTTTTATCTTTCTCATAGATGCTTATTTTGATGGTAAATCCTGAGTGCCAGTGTGGACTGAGGGAAGTACACCTCTGGGTGCATCTGTGAGGCCATTTCTAGAGAGGATCAGCTAAGCGGGGATGTGGGGTGGGGAGCGGGCAATGGCACATCCTGACACAAGTGGCACTGCCCAATAGGCTCGGGGACCTTGGTAGAGCTAGAGGACAAGAGGGAGGAAACCCTCCAGACCAAGCCTCTGTTGTTTCCTCTGCCCACCAGGATGGCAGCTGCCTAGGTCATCAGGCCAGCCCTGCCAAAACAGAATGAAACCCCAAGAAATCTCTCCTCCTATGGCTTGACTAGAAAATGTCCCACTCGGGCTCAGTGTTCCATCTTTCACTGGTGTGGTCGGGGCACAGATAGTGGAACCTGGGAGAGCTCAGGCCTACCTGGAGGACCACATGCTGCTGAAGGGTAGACCTGGCCCCCAGTCCCTCCCTCACACCCTGCTTCTTATCTGCCATGAGATGAGTAGCCTCTGCCAGACACATCATCCCAACACCAATGTTCTGCCTCATCACGGGCCCAGAATAAATAGAGCCTCGGACAGTTGGCAAAACCCTCCGAGACCGTGATCTAGAATAAAGTCACTCTTTTTAGGTTGTGTTTCCTTTTGTGTTTGGGTCACATGGACGAAAATTAACTATGCATGCTCCCCACCCCTTAAGTTGTTTCGTTAAGGGGTGGCATCTGTCTCAGCTACAGAAAGTCTAAACCAGCTACAATTTAATTTTTTAATCAAATATTATTGTCAGACACGGCTTAACTAAAAGAAAAGTGTAAAAGGGTATTAGATGCTCTAGCTGCCAGTCTGTCTGATCCCTAGAAACAAGGGCCCGGTACTGACATCTGACCTTCAAGGCCCGAAGCATATGGGCAAGAGTTAGATTTGCAGCATCATAAAAAGAGTTTTCAGATTTTTAAAAATAGAAAGTGGTAATATTCTGAAGTCTTGTTTCATGTCTTCCTGCAATGTTCTAAAAGTTAGATGAAAAGAATTACCATTAATTGCCCTTTTTTTTGGTAATGGATGGTCATTCTCTGTAGTCATAATGAGATCTGTCGAGTAAATCAACAGTTGTGGTGAAGCTGGGTTGAATGTGATCATCACCACGTTGACTCAGAGCAGCCAAGATCCCCACTGGAGGGAGGGAAAGCCCACAAGGCTCATGACACTTATGGGGCTCAGGAGCCTTCACACTGCCCTTTATGAGGTCTCTCCCTCCCCTGAGGCTACATAGGAGTAAGCAGTGGACTGTGGGGGTCACTCTGGTCATGAAGCAGCTAGTGAACTGCCTAGGGGGGCTCCCCAGGAGTGCAGTTTATATGAGTTGTGCATACTGTGGGTAGGACTTCTCAGTGGCAGAGACGCCTGTACTGTGGGTAGGACTTCTCAGTGGCAGAGACGCCTGTATGTTACCCATAAGGCTTCCCGGTAGTTTGGCTACCTTTGAGTTGTGCACACTCCTGTGAATAGCCCCAATAAACTCATTGACGGAACTGGGACAATAGACTTGGACAGAATCCATCCCTCAGCAACTGGGCTGAGCAGATGTTTCTTTACATCTCCCCAGGAAGTCACACGACAGTGGTAACTCTTTTATTATTCATTCAGTGATTTCCAGAATGAATAATGGACCCCAGATTAATAAAGACATTCCCATAAACCCTAAAATGTCAAGCTGTTAAATTTACCGAATAAAAAAATTACATATGTATATAATAATTTCAAATATAGAATGTTAAGGTAAATTATTGGAATAATTGCAATTATACACTAAAGCAATATTTTTAAAGATTTAATTGGCAGTTCATAGACATTTAATTGTTAAAAATGAGTGCTTTCAACAGTTTATTAAGTGAACGATATAAGTTTTATATGACCAAATGCTTGTTACTTAGTTATATCAATTTAGCGCATGTCATTTTCTGTTTACAGAAAAAAGTCTGTGGAGAGGGAAGATTATGATTTGCTGGGAAATAATCATAACAAAGCTCATAAAAGGAAAAATAAATAAATCCCTGCCACACTGCTCCAGCTACCAGAATCCCTTACCTGGCAGAATTTATTGGTCCCAAATAAGCCTCTTCTTTTCTAAAAAAAGTAAAAGTTAGAAGTAATCATCTGGTGCTTTGAGAAGAATGTGCATATTCACACGTACTGGCATGTCCTAGAGACCCCCCCCCCACCGCCCACGTAGGTGGAGAAGCCTGAAAAGCTCGCTAACTACAGCAAATACAGCAGCCAAGACGACTACTTCGCAGTGTGTCCAACGAAAACCACACGGAAATGAAAGGCAAAGCGTATCAGTGCAGTTAAGCGGCAGGTAATAGACATGGAAGATGGGGTAGTGGCTGGCAGCAGGAACCCAGGAGGCAGGAACCCAGGAGGCAACTGGAGGCTAGGGACGGGTGAATTAATGATTGACAGCAGCGCTCCAAGATGAACTAATGAAGCTGGCCCGATCACCCCATCGATTACATCAAAATGAGAGCAAACTTCTCTTTGGTATATTCGCCATGATCATGAGGGCCACAAACCTGTATGAATATGTATCCAGACTGCCACTTTCCCAACTCATCTGCAGCTGCATGGGCTGAGCAACCACATGGGAACAGATGGCTATGGAGAAACTCCGACACAGAAAGGCAGCCTGCTGCCTTCCACTGAGATGGGCAGCGTCTCCAGCGCTGTGTGGGCAGGTGCTGGATTACGTTTTAGACACAAGGTGATTTTCTAGATGGGACATCAATCAAAGCACAAATTTGTCTGGCCACCCCAATACGTCTCAAGAGGCTGCAATTGAAGCTATATCCCATGTCTTTAAATAATTTAGCTTTGGAGGAAGGCTGGGTCTAGGAATAGCCCAGGTGCTACCCTAGTAAGTGGGAATGTTGTTCAAGAATTATAGGAGACTTTCTTTTATCCATGCTGTTCTTAAGGTAATTTCACCTTTAAACCAATCATCAATTTATACTAATAATGTCCTTAAAAAAATTGGTAAGCACAGACTATCTACACAGTTCAGTAAGTCCATTCCTACTAAACAGAATTAGAAGCCAGGGTTTCAGTATTATATATATATAATTCATCCATGCAATAAACAGTTCTGGAGTCCTATTGTGGCTCAGATGATGTTCTGGTCTGCATGGGCACATGAGTCACAGATGAGAGGAACATTGTTTTAACACTGAAATGTGAGACGGTACAAACTAACTAACTGCTACCTGGAGGGTGAAAGCAAACTAAGAAGGCATGGGAAACAAACAAACAAACAAACAAACAAACAAACAAACAAGGCCTGTTTCCTGTGCACTGTCCAACCTTGGGCTCTTCTCTGCCTTTCTGACCTTCTCAGGCCTCACTATCCAGGAGGCTCCTCTTGACCTGTGACATCAGTGCCATCCTGCAAGGGTGTCTGCCTCAGAGTTCCTTTCTCTAGATGAGCCATAACACTGATAAACATCGTCGGAAGAGCGGCTTCGCTTCTCGGAGCCTTATTCTAGGCTAGGATACATGGAGGGGTTAGCTCATGCCTTCTCACTGATGACTTCCCCCATACGGATGAAGAACCCCAGGTCCTTAGAAAGTCAGTTGCTGTTCACCCTTATGAGTCAAGCTTCAAGCTTAGGCAGGGTTCTCCCTCTACACTGACCCTGGCAAAGGAACACCCCAAAGGATGCTGGGACCATGTATCATGTGGCACAGGATGAGTCTAGAGCTTCTGGAGTCCAGAGGCAGCTGCCTGCACAAGTGTCTCGGAGAAGTGCCCCTGGCTTTTCTCTTTTTGATTCTGTCTGCTCTTAATACGCACCCCCTCCTTTTAATTGAGTAACTTCTTGAAAGCCCTGTAAAATTTGGGCGGTTCTGCCCCCTTGTCAAGTTGTAGCTGTTTGAACAGGATGTAAACAAAACACTCTGAAAATACATAAGAGATTACCGGTCAGCGCGGTGCGGTGGGGGTGGTGGGGATGGGGGGGGGGAAGAGTGTTATTAATTGCACCTGCCTTCCCTTTACTACTGCAAAGAGGACTTCAGTTACTAAACCCTGTGGTTTAGGACCTTCTGGAAGTTTGGCTAAGCATCAGCCTTTTAACTGTGACATTATCAAATTACTGTAGTACACAAAGAATATTCTTTTTCATCCCCTTCTTTCTTAATATCAGACTTATGGGGAAAAACAGTGACAAAAGAGTCTCATTACACTTCAAATATTCATGAAATGACACATTTAAAAGCGACAGCTTCATTATTGAAGAGCAATCTCTCTCTAAAGTTATTTCAAAAACAGAGATCTCAGAGTACAAAGAGGAAGAAGTGTTTCAGTGGGAGAGAGGAGGGGATGGGAGAGGGTAATGGGCGAAACTGGCTGAAATTCATTATATACGTGTGTGAGATTGTCAAGGAAGAAGCAAATGAGTACAGTGAGAAAGCGTGATCTCGTCCACGGAGTCCCGCAGGGGCTCCGAGAGCCAACAAGCACGTTTATGCCATCCACAAAGAGGATGGCTTGGAGTAAGGAAAAAATAGTCTTCATCTATTCTGAAGGAACAGTTTGTAAAAGTCTGCGATTTCTGGTAGTTCTTCTACAATCTCACTTTGCAGGATCAAAAGAAAATACAGAAGACTCTTAAACTAATTTGCTCTTAGGTTTTAGGATTCCTAGAGATTAAAGGGTTTTTTTTTTTTTTTAAATAGTAAAATAAAACATAGTAAGATAAAATAAAAACATGTTGGAGTTGACAAGACCAATAAACAGAAGGAAAAGAGAAGGCACAAAAATCAGAAACCCACTCATGTACACACTCAGGAATCCCATTAAAAACACTAAACTGGCCGGGCGGTGGTGGCGGTGGCGGCGGCGGCGCACGCCTTTAATACCAGCACTCGGGAGGCAGAGCCAGGCGGATCTTTGTGAGTTCGAGGCCGGCCTGGTCTACAGAGCGAGATCCAGGAAAGGTGTAAAGCTACACAGAGTAACCCTGTCTCTGGAAAAACAAAAACAAAAACAAAAACAAAAACAAAAACAAAACCCAAACACTAAACTGGAAGCTGTAACATATATTCAGGGGACCTGATGCAGACCTGTGCATGCTACTTCAATCTATGAATTCATATGGTGATCTAGAGGGCCTTGTTTTCTGGGTGTCCTCCATCCCCTCTGGCTCTTACACTCTTTTAACCTCCTCTTCTGCAGGGTTCTCTGAGCCCTGAGGGGAGGGATTTGTTAGAAACATCCCTTTTGGGGTTGCGTGTTCCAAGGTCTCTCGCTCTTTCCATAATGGATGGTTGTGGGTCTCTGTATTTGTTCCCATCTGCTACCAGAGGAAGCTTCTCTGATGATGGCTGAGCAAGTCACTGATCTGTGAGTGTGTGTATATACACACCCCCAACACCACACACACACACACACACACACACACACACACACACACACACACCATGGAATGTCATTAAGAGTCACTGTATTGCTCTCTCTCCTTCTTTTTCCTCCACCACCAATTATTTGTTTGTTTGTTTGTTTTTTAATAGTGCCACACTCTATAGCCCAGGCTAGTCTGGAACTCAGAATGCAGCCCAGATTAGCCTTAAACTCATAGGCAATCCACTGACCTCAACCTCCCCTGTGCCGCATTATAGGTGTGAGTTAGCATGCTTGGCTTGACAGACCATCTTTAAGCCGTTCTGAGTAGAAAGAATAATCTTTAAAGTTCACTCTTTCCAGCAGTTGTGTTGCTGTTTTGTTACTGCGAGATGCCAGAAGTCTAGTGTGTGTCTCTGACTGACATGGGCTATCTTAACTCTGACAGTGGATCCTTGTATGTAGCAAACATTGTCACTACATATATAAAAGGTTCTCTTTCTCTGGCCGCCCACATGCCTGGTGATTTCCCATGCTACAAAGGCTCAAGAGAAATGACTCAAAGTTGTACTCAGGCTGCTGTGTAATTCGGAATGCCACACCAGTGAGCCTTCACAGAGTTCAGTTTAAACAAAGAGATGGTCAACTTATTCCTCCGTGGGTACAGCACTACTTACACTCATACCCAGCACTAACTTGGAGAGTGATGATCCTATCTGAGTGTTAGACGAACAAACTAACGAGCTGAGATTCTGGGGCACAGGATTCCCAATTCAGGTTAATAGCAACTATGCAAAGTCTGACTGGTTGATCTGATGAGTCAGAAAACCCAGACCAAATTCAGCCCTAACCACAACTGCTGCTCTCAGGGAAGGGAGAAGCATTACGGTAAAAAGCCGAGCTCTGGTTAAGGGAACTTAAACTTTTCCTTGCTTCCATTCTTAAACAAGCAAATGTTCACATGTGACTAAAATCATGAGGAAAGAAAGCATTTTTCCCAATCAGGATACAAAGAACATTCCAAGAAGGTTTTCATTTTATTCTCAATGTTCCTATAATTAAAATAATTTCTGGCCAAATTATAAACACAGAATTGATAGATTTGTGTTCATCTGCAAAGACACTGTAACAATACTTCCTATCATATTGCTATATAGGCCTTTGAAAGAAATGAGAAAAATTAAGGAATTTGTAAAGGATCTAAAACTTATTTGGGATCATTGAAGAAATTAATGAGAATTTACCTCTATTGCAAAATTTAATAGCTCTGTATAAGAAATGAAATAGTGAGAAATAAGATTAATATTTTCTTATCCCCAGAGAAGTTGCTTCCTTCAAAGTGTTGTTTTATTTTTCTCAATAAAATATATTAACATTTTAAAAAATACATGGTTGACTATGAACTGTATGACACAAATATAAATACCCATGAAGTTGTTACAGTTCGCTGTTCAGAATAATAACAACAGGAATTGGTTTCACCAAGAGAATGCAAAATAAATAGACTGACTCCTGCATTGTCTAGTATTGTGTCTCCTTGGGGTGAAATAAAACAAAATAACATATATCATTTCAGGGGCTCAGACTAAGGAATCTTTTCATTTGAGGGCAGGTTACGAGAATGATTGTTCTGGAACACATTTGAAGAAGAGAGCTATCATGTTTGGAAGACAGGCTAGATAGAAGATAATCTTCAAAATTGGCTTCTAGTGGTGTGTGGGTGTGTGTGTGT